ATCCTGCTATGTGGTCTCGACCGCAGCTTGGTGGTGAATGGCCGAACCCCTACAACGAAGTCAGCCAAAGAAAACCGTTCTTTTCGGATTTGGAGTTTGAAGCTCTGGACTACAACAGCCTTCCTCAATTTGCAACCTTTCCCCCGCAGTCCGGATATCCAGAGGCTCCTGTGAAGATAGGCATGCCACAAAATATCCCACCGCCACGTATGTCAACTCCTGAGGTGCGATCTCGTAGGGATGATCGCGGGCAGTTTTCCACGAGGCCTGTCCCGCCCATGTCGTTCGCCGACACTGCGTTTGGATTGGTGCATCAAGGCCAGCGAAGGGTATCTCAGCAGATGTACGCCCCATCGAACGGCAGTGTTCCGATGTCCCCTGTCCAACCTCAGATACAGAGTCCTGCAACGTATGGTTCGGCCGAGTTCGGCCGAAGAACTTCTGTAGGGAATTTCGTGAGATCTTATTCCACTGCCTCGACTCAAAAAAGCTCACAAGAAACTTCCACGACCGGCGCTGCTGGGAGGGCAGCCAAGCGAGCTCGTCCTAGTACTCCAGGATCTGCAGAAACTCTTGGGGATAAAGACTACAGGTACCGGGAACTCAGTCCTCAATTTCGCTTGAGCCCTTGGGAATTCGTCGACGCAGCAGAAAGTCTGATTTGAATATCTCACGCATTCTGTATTTGCACATATTTGTATGTTTGGCTTGATTAGGCGTGGCCTGTCGTGCGGGAGCGATGATCAAAATGGTATGGTATGGTTATGCGGTGTTCTTTCTACCGCACTCTTTGTGTGTTTCCTGTTTAACTGCCTTTGATGCTATCTTGCTGTAGCGTCTGACTCATGGTTATTCCGGTCATCTTTTTCTACACGAACTTACTCATTGTCTAGTTCGTTTGGAGCACGAGTATAGTTTTGAGTCTACCTGGCCTTGATAATACAATACGCATTGATTCATCAGCTTTCGCGAAGGTTCCGGACTTCCGTACGTCAATGCCTTGCATCGCAAAATGATTGTACCAGAACAACAGGGTGAGGCTACTAACAGCGATTACAACACCTTGTACGACAATTGTGCCACGCAGTCTCGTCATTCTGGCTCACTCGAAGTGAAGGATTGGGGGATCGGTAGAGAAAGTTCCGTCCTCCGTGATAAAATGAGGTTTCTTCACAAAGCGAGCCTGCACTTCGAAGTTTATGGTCATTACCCAGGATCTTCGGTCTCGGGTTTTGCTTTAAAGTCCGACATGTTGCGGAACGTCAAAAGAAGGGACCGTTCTGACTATGACTTTTCTTTTAAAAATGGTCCAAATAGGTTCGTGTTGAGGTAACACAACTTCTTATCCTCAAGCCTCTTTCTTATATGTGTAGCAGGCTTGCGGCCTATCGATTGTTGGAGTGCCGAGGCAGATACTTGATCTGCAATCTTCATGGCTTTCAGCTGTTGACGATCATATGCTGACTCGCCAAAGCTGGTTATCTGAGAATAGGTATGCTCGACAACGGACGTGTACTGCTCCTCTGGCCTATTTTCTTCGACCGCATGGACACGATTGGTTACTCCGCTTCAACAAATCTCCAGCTCCTTCGCTCATGGATACCCGAGATCTCATCTTTACGGCCTTATTGAAGGCTGAAGCGGCTGAAATAACGGAAAGTGCGGCGGTCATCTGAGGCTTATAGACAGGTCCGAAGCATCCTCAAGCCCGACGGCTTCCGGTCTCCGCCGAGGCCGCAACTTTTGGCCTGAGCAGCAAAGATGGGCTACACGATCTTATCATAACACGGCTGCTTTCTGTTGGACAATGCCGCTGAAGTCATGACAGGCCCCCATACGGGATGCCACACCTTGTGCTCTGGCGAGGCAGGCCACAACTGCAGGTGAAGATCTTTTGTGAGAAGTCATTTCTTCTGTCGCTGTTGTCCCGTCTTTGGCCCCCGGGTGAGACGAGAAGTCATCATCGACTCAGCAGCAGCTTCCTGAAAAGATTCCGCCGTGTTACCTTGCGCTGCATGTTCTTTTACAGTGGTGGATGTCGGGATGTGAAGATGAAGCTTAAAGGCGTGTCTCCCAGCTGGAAGAGTTCATGACTGAATCTCTCTCAACTCGCAATTCAACGTCCAAGACTTACAGCGTTTGTCGTGATACAAAACAGCATCTTTCAAGATGGCTTCCATTATGTCCGCCCCAGACTACTCGATGGCTGCGACCAGTCGTTCGCACCTCAGTGTCCGTCTGCCAAAAGAGACTCTCTACTCATCTTTGAGGGAATCATCCCGCTACTTTAACTTCGACTCGGAGACTGCCAAACTTGCTAGAGATGCTGATGAATGGCTCAAATCACACCCTGGCGGCGCAGCCTCCGGTGGTTCCAAGGATGCAAACGGTGTAAGTCGGCCGTCGTCAATTGCCCCGAGCAATTTTAGCGTTCGGTCTCTGCCTGCCGACTATAATATGCCGGAACACCATCGCAAGGACTACCCTCATCCCGTGATGGGTTCGGTGCGATATAATGAGATTAGACCAAGATCTGCCGCGCCGACTGAGAGCACGGAGAAGCTTCAGTCACCACCTACGAGCGGGAATGAGGACTCAGGCCCCAATCCGGAGTATCCCACTGGCGTGAAGCTTGCTTTGATCACTCTGGCTCTCTGCCTGGCCGTCTTTGTCATGGCACTGGGTAAATATTCCATCCTGATTAGTGAACTCTGCTCATACGTCACAGACAACTCCATCATTGCAACCGCGATTCCAAGAATCACCGACGCTTTCGAAAGTCTCAATGACGTGGGGTGGTACGGGTCGGCATACATGCTTACAACGGCTGCACTACAGCTATTCTTCGGTAAGCTGTATACCTACGGCAGCATCAAGTGGACGTTCCTATCAGCCATTGCCATCTTTGAGGTGGGTAGTCTCATCTGCGGTGTCGCTCCCGACAGTGTCACGCTCATCGTGGGACGAGCCATCGCCGGCGTCGGTGGCGCTGGCATCTTCGCAGGAGCCCTCACTATCCTTGCGTTCTCGGTGCCTCTTCACAAAAGACCTATCTACACTGGTCTCGTCAGCGGTATGTGGGGTATCTCATCTGTCGCAGGACCTTTGCTTGGTGGTCTCTTCACAGACAAGGTCTCATGGCGCTGGTGCTTCTACATCAACCTCCCCATCGGCGCTATCACTGTGGTTGTCATTCTTTTCTTCTTCCCCGAGCCCGAGCGTGATATTGAGCCTGCAACATGGCGAGTGCGCTTCTGGCAGCTAGACCCTATCGGGACTGCTATCTTCATGCCCGCCATTGTGTGTCTGCTTCTCGCTCTGCAATGGGGCGGCGTTGACTATGAGTGGGACGACTCGATCATCACCTCGCTGTTCATGCTGGCTGCCTTTCTTCTCATCCTGTTTGTCTTTGTGCAGTATAAGATGGACGAGAACGCCACGGTGCCTCCTCGTATCTTCAAGATGCGCAGCGTCTGGGCGGGCGCCTTTTTCTCTTTCAATACGGGCGCGTGTTTCTTGACGGCCATGTATTTCCTGCCCATCTGGTTCCAGGCCGTTCAGGGACAGAGCCCCATCATGTCTGGTGTGAGAAACCTCCCCATGCTTCTCGGCATCGTCCTCTGTGCCATGTTGGCCGGTGCAGCTGTCACGACCTGGGGCTATTACACACCCTTCATGATCCTCGGTGCTGTCCTCATGGCCATCGGCTTCGGCATCATCACCACCTTTGAAGTGAACACGTCAACAGCCAAATGGGTAGGCTACCAGCTCATCGCCGGCATCGGCGTGGGCGTCGGTCTCCAACAATCCCTCATCGCCGTGCAAGTCGTGTGCGAAATGGTCGACGTTCCCACAGCCACAGCCCTGATTGTCTTTGCGCAGACTCTCGGCGGCGCACTTTGCGTGACAGCAGGTAATACTGTGTTTACCAACACGCTCATCAACAAGATTCAAGAACACGTGCCTGAGCTAGACCCGCAATTTGTGATTGCGACCGGCGCGACGAATATCCGCAGCGTCATCAGGGAGGAGTGGCTGGATGGAGTGATTCTCGCGTATAACGACGCGTTGACGACGAGTTTCTATGTTGGTGCTGGGACCGCGTCGGCGACGATCATTGGTGCGTTGTTGGTGGAGTGGAGGAGTGTGAAGGGCAGGGAGATTGAGATGGCGGCTGCTTAGGTTGTCTAGAGTGGGGCTTACAATGTGTCTTTCCTTCGTGATGGCCGAGTATTGATGTTGAAGAAAGAAGTGATGAGTAGAGTAAAAGGAGAGATATTGGATGTCCAGTAAAGGGGGATTATATATTCATGACGTGAAATTTTCAGAAGCTTGACGAATACATAAATCTTGGTCACTGGGCAGATAGATGTTCTGGAAACACATTCATGACTGATCTTACCCTGTACTGATGATGAATTAACGACATACCTGGAACTGCTGCTTCCGATGCAGCAAGTCCGCCATAGTATTTGAAGGTGGGGACTAGCCAAACCAACTGTGATCCGATTTCCATGCTTCATTGGTAAGATTGAGAGTTTACGACGGTAAAGTAGGCCATCTATGGAAAGTCCGATCAGTTTGGAGTCGCACATTCTGGAGAGCTCCTAGCATAACTTAGTAAGCACACTGAAGAGCAAGTACACCAGCGCATATATAGACCAGAAAGGTAACAGCAAAGCAACTATGAGTATACAGTCGCATCAACAGCAAATACATTCATTCTCTTCTGCAACCAATTATTTAGGAACAATGATCCGAGGTTCAAAATACAAAAATAAATCTAAGCTTAATGGGCGTAATTGATTGAGCCAATTAAACGAGGTTGAAGGGCCCCACCACGGCCTTGGCCGCCGGGAAGCCGGGAAGTCAGGTGACGCCCCACTATCACAGACGCCACATTGTGGGGCCGCATTTGAGTCTAAAATCTCACTTACCAAAAATGGACAGCACAAAGAAACATCTCACATTTGCTTCACTGTGCAAAAGTAAAGGTGTCTGGGCTCAACCGGGATTTGAACCCGGGACCTCTTGCAGTTTTGGTCATCCCAAAGCAAGAATCATACGACTAGACCATTGAGCCTGAGCTGTTATTGAAGACTTTGGCAATCATTCAATCTATATCTTGTTAGAATCGAAGTCGAAATCACCTTACTCGCGAGCTGACACCGTGCTCCCTGGTTCCTTTGAGTCAATGCGGAAGGCACGAGTAGTCCAACCATGTAAATCCTGAAGGTCAAGCTGAGTCCTACGGAAATCACAGCGTCTGACCGCGTTTGCCAACTAGACCTTTACGGCCATCATGATTACTCCAGTCACTTTACCCTACCTATATCTATAGTGGTTACGGTCCCCCATTTGCAGTCCTTACGCGTCCCGTATCGCTTACCCACGATAATGTGTCTGCTAATGCTGTCAATAGACGCTGGCCCACGCCGTCCAAGCTGGACATAGCACACATGAGATATACAACAGACTACTTTAGGATAGAGTGTAATAATACTTTAAGGAGCTTAGAACAGAATAATAGTAGACTATTAATATTTTACCTAAATTTATAATTTTATTATTTAAACTCATCTTGAAGTACCTTGGCCAGAGGCCAGAATAGCAGTGGTGGAGACCCCGCTCTAAGGGAAGAGCTCGGCAGGACGATATAAGCCTTCTTCCTTTGCAGGAAGGCAAAAAACGGTCACCTCCTTCTGTCTCCATTGGGGCTATTTATAATGAGAATCGCACAGGCGCGTTGCCCTTGTTTTGTGCTGCTATGAGATCCGTAAATGGTCGCGTTCTGTCGGTGCCCATCTACTACCAAGCCACGCACATCCAATCGGCCAACGTCCTTACACCGTCTCGAGCTTCTTATTCGAAGGGGCTCCCTCCTCTTTTTCCTCCACCTCGACTGGGACTCGTAGACTCTTCTAGTAGTCTGGGGCAGCTGAGAGGGTGCTATACGCAGCGTCCTCCTTTTCTTGGTTCTTGATCTGAATCGTTGCTTCATGGCCATTTCGGATGTGAACTTTGGAGACATAGCATAATGTTTATAATTTACTATGGATATGCGCTCAAATGCCAACGAGGTGCGAGCGGTTTTAGAAGCATATGGGACACCCAATACTAACAATCATGATAGCGCACAAGCAATATAACATCGGTATATAAGAAATATCCCCTGATTATATTTAAAGCATATTTAGCACATTGATGCTATGTCAATTGATGACATTGATGGTGATATTCGGAATGACCGCGATTAAGTGGTTCAAATCAAGAACCAAGAAAAGGAGGACACAGCCTATAGTAACCTCCCGGAAATTGAACCCATGTAGACAGGGACTGGTAAGTGTAGCATGTTTCACGATAGGTAAAAAGACCGCTCGTTGATGATGGGGTTTTCGTCGTTGACAAGTGTTCGCTTGCTTCAGCAATCCTCGATTTCCGAGTCTCGTTTTTCACCACAAAGTGTAAGTGAGAATTGTGGGGCTATGCTGGTTCCAACCAATTAGGCTGGGCGAGATTCTTGCTTTTGGATTTCATTGCTTGCGTTTCTTAAAAATTCCACGCGTAGAGACGGTATGACTGACCAACCTCGACCATCAAGAGGAGTACGGCTGACACTGGGCTGTCCATTGATGCGAGAGGTCTTAACATCTATACAAAAAGGCGTCAGGGCGTTAGGCCGTGTACCTCGAAGCATTCGATTTTGCAACAAGCATAGTTGCAACGCTTCGCACTGACACCTAACCCCCAGGCATCCGCGTCCCTGTTCAGGTCAACTCCAGGACTGAAACAAAGAGTTTGCGGCTGGACTGAAAATAGGGATCAGAGAGAGATGGCTGTCATTTGCCATCCTGCAAAGGAAGAAGAAGTCCCTGCTCTAGATCCTCCTGATAGCCAATGGTTGCCGGTCTCAGTAAAACCGGGAGGAGGACGAGGATGAAGAGCCTACTTTAGGATAGAAAGTAATGAAGCTTCAAAGAGTTTAGGATAATATGACAAAGATAGTACTTATATTATACTACTAATATGCCTAAAGTTATAAATTTGTTCCCAAAACTATCCAAAAAATAAATAATGTAAGAGAATAAGTCCAATGTAAGTGATGGGGACATTGACCACCAAATAAACCACCTCGTAGAGGTACGAAGAAACACAAACGAATTAGTCCATTATCACCAACAAAAATCCAACTTCAGTTCGTTAAACAACCTCATGTTCATCATGGCGTCTCCCGCCAAACTCATCCAGTTGTTAACCCTCTAGTAGTAGATAGGGTTCTTAGGATCAGTAAGATCAAAGATGACAGAGCTGTGGGGTCGGGCGCCACCGCGGCTCCTTGTGAAGATCTTCTCAAAGTCAATTGTGCGGTTGAAGCTAAGAGATCCGTCGTCGTTGATGTCAATCCAGTGACCCTTGTAATCGGCGGGAGTGTTGACGATGGAAATATCTCCACCCTGCACAAAGTAACCGGTAACAAGCAGGTTCTTCTTGTCGGGAGAGATCTTGACGTAGTGGGGACCGATGATAGGCTGCTCCTCATCAGGGTCATCAAGGCGCTTGACGTTGTCGAGGTCGGAGATATCGAGAGCAGCGATGTGGTTGCCGAGAGTGATGGTGAAGTAAGCGAGCTTGCCGTCGTCGGTTATGTCGGAGTAGATGGCTAGAGATTCCTTGGCCTTGTCGCCGAGGTCGTACAGGAGCTTGGCGACACCCTGGTTGCCCTTGGAGTCCTTGCGGAAGGGGTAGATGATCCAGACTTGACCGGGGCCGACAGCACTGTAGATACCGGATTAGTAACTTGGTAAAGTGTCATGATTTTGGATGTACTTACGTAGCCAGAGCAGCACTCTCCTTGTTACCGGGAATGAACTTGACGTCCTGGATACCTTGGCCCTGCTGCTGTTAGATGACTTCCTCAACTAGTCAAACGGGCAACTCACGTCGGGGATGGTAATAGTAGAGATGATCTTGCGAGTCTTGAGATCCCAAAGGCGAAGAGTATCGGCCTTCTTGATACCAGCAGTAGGCTTGAGGATGGTGATGGGGACAACAAAGTCAGAAGTAAGGATGATGTTCTTGTCAAAGTCGACGCTAAGACCGTGGGGAGAGAACTGCTCCTCAAGGACGTTGAGGGTACTCTTGACATCCTCGGGCCACTCGTGGATGATGTTACCACCAGCGTCAGTCTCAATCAGACGTCCGGGGGATGTGCCGACGGCACTGCCCATGTAAGTGATGAAGAAACCGCCGTCGGGCTTGGCTCGGATCTCGTCAACGATGGAGCCCAAGACACCACGGTTGCTGTGGTCGAACTTAGGGTGGTAGGGGTCAGAAGTGTCGAAGTAGAAAGCCGTGTCCTGTGTCTTGAGAAGAGACAGCAGACCGCCACCGACAAGTGTCTTTCCATCGAGGGAGCTTCCCAGATGGTGGGGCGAGTTGCCGCTGGTGTTTACGTCGGTGATGTGGATGATCTCACCAAAAGTGTCCTATGAAAGTCAGTATGACCGCGGAATCTTGAATCAAGAGCGATATTAACTCACATCGTCTAGACTGGCGGTAACTAGAAAGTCGGCGTGCTTGTTATCACCGGCACCGGTCCAGAAGTATCCAATCTTCTTGGGCTTGATGTTGGAAGTCTTGAAGGGAGGACTATCCAGAGGAGGAGTGGGAACCTGGAGAATGGGCAGTGGAGGGGCATTATCGGCCAGAGGCTCAGTGACACCCGGAATCTTGGGAATCAGAGGAGGCAGGCTGAGTCCTCTCTTGTTGAGGTTAGCTGGAGATGCTGAGACCTGAGAGGCCAAGGCGCCCAAGAGGGCCGTGAAGGAGACGAGAGAGGGCATTGTCGAAAGAATGTGTAAAAGAAGACTCAGTTGCTATTGTCCAATGAGGAAGTGAGCAAGTTGATGATGTGAGTTGGATGATTGAGAAAGATTGAGGGAGTTTTCGAAGTATTATATACCTGGATCATCCATCGTTGCATGCTCTCCTTTCTCTACTTACAGATCTCCTGAACACCATCTCTGGCCAAACTCTTGGACCTCACTCTCAAGAATTGTATCATCAAGCCTCACAAAGACACAATTGAACCTCATGATGAGTTTCTTCCAGCGCGACTATCACAATTTCCGCATTCATCACCTTCGACTCTTCAGCTTTGACTGTACTGTCTCTAGCCTCAATGATGTGCTGGCAAGAAAGACAAGGGAAGCAGAGCGGAACTGAAGCTTCCGATCGTTATCGGGTCTGATCTGCAAGTTCTCAGACTAAGAGCTTGAGCTGAGTACTGCAACAGACCAGCTTAAGTGCCGAGAAGATGGTCATCTGGGGCAGATAGTTGCGGGATGTCAAGGATGCCAACTTGGGATGACCATACTACTCAATTCTACCCTGCCCGCAGCCTAAATTACCCCCTGGACAGACATTCAAAGTACCTCATAGCTAAGACAAGCATGATCGTAAGAGTTTCCAACTTGTTTAGCTTGAAATAGTCGGTGCTGTTGAACTATAGGCGTTGATTCGAATCCAGTCGCTGACCAAACGGTAGTCACATCACCAAGTAACAGCGCATGAGATGATGTTCGAATGCTATTGTAATATTGGACAAAGATGCTAGTTCTCAACGTTCACTATGAAGATTTTAAGATGATTCTCTACACAAGTCGTCTGGTAGTGCAATAAGTTCAAGCTTAACCGGGATAACGTTGATAGTCAGCCCCTACCGTTCCATCCCACGTTCTCTGTGATATTTGGATCAACAGATCTAACGAATGACATCAGTTTCGGGTGTTATTGACCATGGACAATTGAGACAGCACTGAACTAACAAAGTCAAAGTGCTGAATTACCCAATTCACCAGCCCAGGGGCTATCAGCCTTATGTTACTGGCAATCTCCCTTGTTCCAACTACTACGGTACCTCAGTACACCCCCAGTCCCGTGTCATCCAGGCACCCACGATTTCCCGGCACTTGGATATCCCGCTTGGGATTCTCCACAGACAAGATTCCCCTTTGGGACGTTGCTAACTAGTTTGATGTCTTACCAGGCTTGATTCGTGAGTGATCTTCACGATAGTTTGAC